TGTTAGCAAGGTGGCTGTTGTTACTACGCTTTGGGTTCAGCTGGTCTTCCTTTTCTGAATCCACATCACAGTACTGCTGTGCAGTCCACATTTCTCCGTGTTACACCCTAGAATACGTGAGAAATTACCAAATAACTTGCTAATAAATTTAAGGTTCATTTTCATAACCACCTCCATCTGTGTGAACTGTTTCTGATGAAGCCCCGTGGGCGCTCCATGATCAGCATTTCCTGTTCTGATGCTTGCTAACCATCCCTTTAATAATATGTTCTGGAATCTTGCCAAGCTCACCAGCCTGTGCTCACCAGGCCACTTTTCCCCTTTTGAAAGTAAGGCCGACGTTTATCCTTCTGCAGGGCAGTTCTCCACAGACTTTCAAAGTAGCTGCACTGGCCAGCTGTCTCAAGACTTGGGACAGTTCATGTGGGCCTGATGGTTTGAACTAACAGGGTCAGTTCAGAGCTCTCTTAATATCTCTCCACTTATCTTGACTGTCAGCTCCCTGTCGGCCATTTTTATTCTCTCCTTTTCAGTTTAACAAAGATTTTTTAAGTACCTGCCATGTTCTGGGCCCTTAAGACCCAAGGACAAAAGGAACAGCCCCAGTCCTTCAGGAAGTGACCTTAATCTTGGGGGATACAAGCTAAGCACCAACCTCAGGGGAAGGGGAAGGCTTTCACAGAGGGGGGCGCATCTTGAACTGAATCTGGAAGGAAGCAAAAAAATTATTTGCAAATTAATTTTAGCATTGGAATCAGAAGCAAAGAGTTCAGTAATTCTGTCTTCTTTGTATCATCTTTTATCATCCATAGCACAGGTTCTATCCCTTCTTTGAGCCTTCTTTTTTTCCCCAGTGTGACTTTTTAAAAAGCAAGATTTTTTTTGTTCTTTTCCTTCAGCTTATTGGAAGTTACAGTGCTCCCAGCACTATTATTACTGGACTATACTGCCCTTTTGGGGTTCTCTTGTATTATCTGCCATGGTTTCCATCTTGTCTTTATTCCTTTCTTTTTTCTTTATTAAGTAGGTTTCTGTTTGTTATATATCCACTTTGGTCTCTTTAGATCAGTAATGTCAAATTCAGAGACCACCAAACCAACTGAACATATTAACTTTACATTCTATTAACTCCACTCCTCCACCCACAACCCCATTCCCCAGTTTCTTTCTCATTAGAATTGTTTCTCTTGATCACTTCAGAGATTGACTGTGGAAAGCTTCCCACTCTTCTGGCCTATCTTTCAAGCGTTGCCTTTCCTTTCTGTAAATGAAACTGCTTTCCAGAAATCAAAAGGCTATTTAGACTATGTCTTCACTCTCCTTATCACAGATTCCAAAATGGGATTTGTCACTTTTTTCCGCCTTTCCTGCCCTTATTGGTGAAAATGATCTGGAAGATCCAGATCAGTTTCCTTCTTGAGAGGCGGTATGGAGAGGGCTGGGGTTATTTAAAGTCAGAAGACCCTTGTTTGCATCCAGCTGTGCCATTGATTCTCTAGGAGACTTTTAGCTTCTCTAAATGAAGGGGTTGGATAAGATGGCCTCTTAAGGTCCCTTCCAGATCTCAATCTCTGATCCTGTTTTCCTGTCACCTTTTTTTTTTTTTTAAGACAGTTGGGGTTAAGTGACTTGCCCAGGGTCACACAGTAAGTGTCAATCAAGTGTTTGGTCTGAGGCTGAATTTGAACTCAGGTCCTCCTGACTTCAGGGCTGGTGATCTATCACTGTGCCACCTAGCTGCCCCCTCCTCTCACCTTTTGAAGGATAAAATTATCAACTATTATGCTTTCAGCAGAAGTCCAGATAAATCAAGTTCCCCATCACTCCAATATCATGCTTCCGTGCTAGCTTTGTCGTCCAGTTTCTAATACGTTTATTTCTTCTTTATGTTAATACAGTCTGTGGCATATTGTGTTTCTTTGATCTTTACCTAAAATGTTTTCCACATGCTTCCCATACTCTGGTTCCTAGATTTATTCCCAGAATCACATCATCTTAATATTTGATGCTATTCTACTCCCTTTTCTTTTTACCTATCTTCCTTTGAATTCTGGTCATGAATCCAGTCCTGTCAAGTGTCAGTAGTACTTCATGGGGTCAAATGTACCTTCTTGTTTTAGAATCTCTACTTCATTTTTTTTTTTTGGTTAACCATGTATTGTGCATTTCTGCATGGAAATCTGCAAACCAGTGGGATTTTTTACTGGCTTCTTTGTTAGATTTCTGCTTCTTGTGAATTTCTGGGTGGTTCTACTATGATTTTTCTCAACGTTGTCACTACTTTCTGTGGTTCCCAGCTAGTGAAAGATACATAGGCAGTTTTCCCCCTTCCCCTTGTTTTTCAGTTTAAAACTGTTTTGGTAAGATTTGTAGGATCCAAAGCAAATACATTCTTACTAGTCATTGTTAGTACTCTGACTTAATGAGCCTGTTATTCCTACATTTTAATCCATGGTCCACAAATAGATTCTTTTCTCTTGAACCAGCTCTTAACTTGCCACGTCTACTATTTTTCCTGACTGAGTGATGAAAACACCAGCTCTGTGCCAGAGTTCTTCAACTTCTTGTCTCAGACTTTGTGCACGTTAGCCATTCTTTCTGGATTCCTTCCAACTCACCAAAAGTGGTCACTTGTCCTCATGTCTGACAGATATGAGAACGTCTCTGTCCTGGTTTGAATGCATGCCTCTGGAAGGCAGCAGCCCTTGCATTCAAGTAGTCTATGATCTAATATGGGAGAAAGATGCATGGTAAATAAATAATTGATACAAAAGAGATTGTGATAAAAGCAAGAAAGAGATTATTTGATAGTGAGAACTACATCTTTTCAGGTGATGAGATCAGATATAAAATTCAGTCATCCCTATTAAACAAAAGTGACTCTTACCAAAACTATTCCATTTAGGTTTAGAGTTAACCTAGCTTCAGATTTCTTTTTTAAAGTAAACAAATTTTAGACAGTTCACTTTCAATTTTTTTTTTCCTTTTTTCAAACTCCTTGCTACCTTTAAATGTATGTGTGTTTGGCTTAGGCATTGACATGATCAGTAAAATGCTGAAGATGCAGATGTTGGAGGATGAAGATGACCTGGCTTATGCAGAAACAGAGAAGAAGACTCGCACAGATTCCACCTCTGATGGCCGCCCAGCTTGGATGAGAACTCTCCATACCACTGCATCCAACTGGTTGCATCTCATACCGTTGACTCTGAATCACCTGAAGCGAACTGTAGAAAACATTAAGGCATGTTCCTTCTGTTTTTTATGATTTAATGTGGTTTTTTTTCACCAATTACCGGTAAAAGCAGTTTTTAACATTCCATTTTTAAGAATTTTGAGTCGCCACCCTCATTGAGGAGGCAAGCAGTTTGATATAGATTAGACGTGTGCAGTCAAGGCATATTCTTTAATTCATTTTTCCAAGCATCTCTAGGAAGTAAACTAGAATTGCTTTTCTTGGTGAGACCTAAGGCAGTGCCGTAGAAGAAACAGACGTCTCTCTTAACAGTCCGCCATTCGGAGAACAGCTCAAGGGACAGATGATCTGATTTCCTTTGTGGCACATTTATATACATATATTCTAGGAAGAGGAATGAGAGCATCCCATATATCTCTAAGTATGGTAAAGGCATCTGATCACAGAAACCTTTAAAAACTCTTGTCCGGTTTGTGCTCAGTCTGGCTTCAGAAACTCGCTTTTCCAGGTTCTGTATGGACACACATATGTAGTTATTTCACTGAACAAGTAGAGCATGCAGAAGATTTTCCTGTGTGCAGCAGAACAGCAGCCCTTTCTCCTCTGTCCATCGGTACTTGTTTGGTCATCGACCTTAGCTAGTTCCAGCCTCTACCCAGCTTTGCAAAGCAGATCTCCCATAACAGATGCATTCCTCTAAGCTCTGGTTTGGCGATTTCCACCTGCCTCAGGGGCGTCAGCTCTCACCGGCCCAGCCACACTAGGAGACCGCTCCAAAAACCAAGGGAAACCCCGGGATGCTTCTTCAGGAGTCAGTGGGCATGTTGTGTCCCGGTTATGTGGCAGGCACCAGATTAGGTACTGAGTGTGCAAGAGAAAAAACAATGTCCCTGCCCCCAAAGAAACAACACACAAACACACAAATAAATGAAGTATATGAGAGGAAAGTGCAAAGTAATTCCAGGGAGCCATGTAATCTTGTGGGGCTCTGAATACTGATTTTGCTTGAGTTTTGGAAGAAAGCTCCTCTGTTCCCTTCAGTTTATTTGTAATTTCATTTTAAATGTAGGACCCTCTATTCAGATTCTTTGAGAGAGAAGTGAAAATGGGGGCCAGGTTACTCCAAGATGTCCGCCAGGATCTTGCTGATGTGGTTCAGGTGTGCGAAGGAAAAAAGAAGCAAACCAACTATCTCCGGACACTGATAAATGAACTGGTGAAAGGTACTGTGGTTTCTGCTTCCTTGCTGTATAATGTTCTCACTAGCCAGGGTCTGTCATAGAGTCGTGAAGGCTACGCTCTGATTGGGGAGTAATGGATGGCTGATCTGCAGGCTCCTGAAATGCTCTGTAAATGAATGCTGGAATAGTGATGGGCCCAGTCGCTTGGCTAGCATAAGACGTTTCAAAATAAGCTTCATCTTCAAAAAGATACATTTGACTGCATGAAGTAGTCATTCCTTCTGGGGGCAGACCAGTGTGGATCTTGGTTAGACGTGCTGTCTAAGAGAGTCTCAGGTTCTTTTTTTCTGTAACAGCAATTCATTGCACGTGATGACAGCAAATCCACCCCAGTGTTATAAAAGCTAAATGTTAAAAAGATTTTGGTCAATTTATATTCACTTTTCTTAAATGCTGCTTTGAGGAACCAAAGCGGCACAGTAGATAGAGCAGTGTACTTGGAGTCAGGAAGACTGAGTTCAAATCCCATCTTAGACCTTACTAGCTTTGTGACCCCGGGCAAGTCATTTAACTTCTCTCAGCCTCAGTTTACTCATCTGTAAAATGGGAATAATAATAGCACTTCATGGAGTTACTGTGAGATACGTAAAGCACTTTGCAAACTTAAAGTTCTGCATAATGTTAGCTATTATTACTGTGTGCAGAGTACTAGTCTAAGCTCTGGGAGTACAAAGACAAAATGAGAACAGTCTTTTGGGGGATACAACATTGATTTCTCTTTCCTTCATTACCCTGTTTCCTCCTGTAGCCCCAAAGCTCATTAGCCTGCCTGTTCCCCTCTCTCCTGCGCTGGATTTTTAAATTAGCCTCGCTAAAGAATGTTGTTCATAAGTACTGAGGGGGTCTTTGTATGCAAAGAATGGATCGTGTCCATTTCAGAGGAAAGGTGGTTTAAGGCTAGATTTTCCAACATGTCTTACCTTTATGAGTTCCTCCACCCAAGTCTATCGTAGCTGGAGGCAACTCTTGTGCCAAGTAACAAAAGCTGGGAAGGCTTCAGGTAAAGGCCCAGTGACAGACTGTGTGCATGTATCTATTCTCTGACAACCAGGCTAGCTAAGTCAGAGAATCTTCTCACCAGATGTTGAAGGGGCCAAATGAACCGGTGAAGACCCTGAGGTGGAGAGGGATTAGTGGATTCTATATTAGTGAAGGAAGCGTGTCAGAGAAGTCACAGGACCTTGAAGTATCTCCGTCAGCTGTTACCAGTGTCCTTTTACATGGTATAGAATGAAAAAGGTTGGGTTGGGGGGGAGGGGCAGGGCAGGCAGGGAAAGATAAGATGAAAACACTGATACATTTTTTAAATATCTGAATTGATCCTTTCATCTTTCTGGAATATACTATCACTGAACTTCCAGCCAACCAATGACCACAGGTTTCAGATGCTTTGGGAACAGGATTCCTTAAAGAGAAATAAGACAGGATAATTAAAACCATTCATTTGTCTCTGTGTCTGGTGTTTCAAAAACGTGTCCTGAAAACACTGGATTTGATTCCTGGACTCGAATATTTTCTGGGTGCAGGCATCCTTCCCAGAGACTTTGGGATAACTCCGTTAGCCCGTTCACATTATTGTGAAAGTTCAGGGGTCTGGTGACTTTAAAAATGCTAGATATTGTGATTAGAATGGAACCTACCCAAGTGAGCAGAGAAGATTTTTACAAAATGTATCTAGTTTTTGAGTTGGCGTGGTGTGGGACGCTGTCCTGAATATCCCCATTGTCCTTTTGCAGGTATCTTGCCTCGGAGCTGGTCCCACTACACGGTGCCTGCTGGCATGACAGTTATTCAGTGGGTTTCAGATTTCAGTGAACGAATTAAACAGCTTCAGAATATTTCCCTGGCAGCTGCCTCTGGTGGGGCAAAAGAACTGAAGGTACTTCCTCTAACTGAAATGATGACTTCCATTGGAAATCCAGTTGTCAGTGGCTGCTGTGGGCTGGCGTTAAGGGAGGAGTCAGACCCATTGGGGAACCTAGTTTGGCAGGTTTATAGCATGTCGTTTGAAATAGCTGAGACCGCGAAGTAGATGTTAAATGTAATCTCTTGGGATCAAGAGCTTGGCTTGGTTTTTAATTTCGAGGCAAATTCAAAATGTGCTTGTAGAAAGTCTGATATCAGCAGGCTGAGAGAACTTAGGTCTGAGAGGGGAAAGATTCACATTATCACATATGTGGCCTAAAAGCTGCTTCTTCTTTTGGGGACAGAATATCCATGTGTGCCTTGGTGGCCTGTTTGTTCCAGAGGCTTATATCACAGCCACCAGACAGTATGTGGCCCAAGCTAATAGCTGGTCCCTGGAGGAGCTTTGCCTGGAAGTCAACGTCACAAGCGCCCAGAATGCCGTGCTGGATGCCTGCAGCTTTGGAGTCACAGGTGAGCCGAGGGGAAGGCCTCTCGTCCTGCCTGTTCTTGGTCCAGATTAAGGGCTTGGTGTGGGCACAGTTATACCTGAGATGGTGACATGAGAGCCACACAGGCTGCTGAATGTTAAGGTGTATATTTATCTTTCATGCTAAACAAATAGCCTTGATAACATGTTTCTAGGCAGTTTTCCCTTTTCATGTTTAAGTCTCTAGGGAGGGTGGGTATTAACGCAATCGGCCTCTCTCGTCACTTTCATTTTTTTAATTTGTTTAACATGTTTCTTGTAGGTCTGAAGCTTCAGGGAGCCACATGCAACAATAACAAATTGTCTCTCTCCAATGCAATTTCAACCATCCTGCCTCTAACCCAGCTTCGTTGGATCAAGCAGACCAATGCAGAGAAAAAAGCCAGTGTGGTGAGTTAACCTTGGCCGGAATGGGGGTGGGGGGGGGCCTGTTAGCAGCTCTGTGGTTGATGCTTGTGCTCCTTTCTTAGTTGCAGGGGGTTTTCCACAGAGGTTCACACCCCTGTGTCCTATAGACATATGGTGCTTCCCAGCCTCCATAGGACTCCCCCGCCATGGGCCCCAAGTCCATGTAGTGCAATACATCAGTGCCAAGGGTGCTCAGGGACTGTGATGATTGGACAGAACCTGCCCGTTGACTCGGAAGAAGTAGAAGAGCAGCTGGCGATTCAGGGCCTTAGCTGCTGGCTCGAGTCTTGCAGTTCACCTACCCCTCAAGGGAGAAGTTTTCTGTTTTCTTATGTGAGGCCTTTAATTCTAGAGTGTTTTCAGCTTTGTTGCTTTAACTGATTTTGTGATGAACCATGCATTTTCCCATTGCTCAGCTCTGCTGATTGGGTTGTAACATTTTGCCTTGAGCACCGAGCTCTTTTTTTTGTATGTATGTTCTCTCTTCTCCAGGTCACCTTACCTGTCTATCTGAACTTCACCCGGGCAGACCTCATCTTTACTGTAGACTTTGAAATTGCTACAAAAGAAGACCCTCGGAGCTTCTATGAGCGTGGTGTGGCAGTCCTGTGCACGGAGTGATCTCCTGTTAGTCTCTCACTCTTGACTCACGCCCTGATGGGCACCTAAAATACTGTTTTTCATGCTTAAATTGTGTTCAGAGGGCTATGGATTGTATGAAAAGGGATTTGTGCAAGTGGGTAAATGGAAGATTGGAGGCATAGAAGTGACAGTGAAAAGGCACAAGGAAACAGTAGTTTGGAGACGCAGTTTTTATATTGTGAAATAAAATTTTCAAGCATGGCTGTGAGTCAGTCTTCTTCCTTGACCATGTGCCAGTTTCTGCACCTGTTGGAGCAGATGAAAATGCTAGAAGTTGTGGGCAGAAGGAAGAGTAAGATATTCTTCAGTGGGCATTGTGAGTGACCCCCGGTCTGCACCGACCTTGGGATCAGGGCCATTACACTTTTAAATACACAGTTGAGCTTTTAAGAAATGAGGTGCCCATATTCCAGGTATGAATGGGAGCTGGAAAGTACCTGGAGTCGGGTTAGAAAAGAGCACTGACTTTGGAGTCAGGAAAACTGAGTTCAGATCCTGTTGCTATCATCTGTACTATAAGGAAGGGAGATTAGAATTGGAAGGAATCTTCAAAGACCATTTAATGTATTTTAATCCAGTCTATTGCAGTGCTTATGATAAAGTTGTAGTTATTTTAGCATGCCAACACTGATGCAAAGAATCAAGTCGAGAAATTGTATGAAGAATTCACTCACAGCTTCCTAATTAAACAGGTAGATATTTTAATGCTCAGTAACTTTGCTACAAAAGTGTACACAAGAAGATGTCTCTGGGTTAAGACCTGGAAGCCAAAAGGCTCGTAGAGGACATGAAAGCATCCTGTCGACAGTGGGGAAGTGGTAGACGTGACAAGCACCTCGTCACAAAAAGGGAAACATCCCCACAGACGGCAACCAACCATTTATCCCTGTAGGAATGTCTGGGTACAGTCACACAGCTGTCTCATTAGAGCCAAGATCTGAATCAGTACCAAATTAGGAGTGAGTTTTAAAAAATTATGGTGTGAATTAACTCCAAGCTAACTTAGTTAAGCAAGTTATCAACATCCAAAACTGGGGAAGTGGATAAAAGAACAGACATCAACCCAAACCGTTGCTTTTTTTTTTTTAAAGGAAGTTCAACAATGTACATCAACTGCTAAAAAGCTTAGTAACTGCCCTTACCAGCACACACTTCCTCTGCTTACCAGAGATGGCAGCCAGCATAAACTCATTTGTAAAAAATATTTTGGAGGATGATGGTAAAAGATTGCTCAAGATAATCTCATAAAACAGTATCCAAAAAAACAAGCTTCCAAAAAGAGATCGATGAAGCCACTTCAGTGCTTCCCTATCTACTATATCCTTTTCCCCCTTATCCTCAACTTATTTTTCCCAACCTTCAATCCTCACCCTTTGGAGTAACTCCTACCATCTCTGCTTCTGGGCCAGGGCTTCTGAGTAATCCACATAGGAGGTTAAGAAATCTGGAAGATTGCACCAACCTGAAATTTATGGTGCAGAGTTACACCTGAACCTTCACTCTACAACTACTGACTCCCTATCTGATTCCCCTGGTAATCTGATCCACATCTGTTTCTTGTCTCCAACCCTACTTCTGCCCCCTATACTTTAGATAATCTTAGCCTTTACTGAGAAGACTGAGGCCCTCTAATTGAACTTTGTACTTCCTCCATTCCTCAAATCTCACAGTTATGACTTGGTTCCTGTCAGGTTTAAGGAGTGGACTCTTACCTGCTTCTTTAATCCCTGGCTTCTCCAGGACTCTGCCCCAGGAGTCATGCTCTTCCTTAATGCATCTTTTTAAATTCCTTTATTATGGGGCAGCTAGGTGGCACAGTGGATAGAGCACTGGGCCTGGATTCAGGAGGAGCTGAGTTCAAATCCGACCTCAGACACATAACACTAGCTGTGTGACCCCTGGGCAAGTCACTTAACCCCATTGCCTGGCCAAAAAAAAACCCACACACAAAAAAAATTAAATTCCTTTATTATGAATATCAACAAGTGAGCATCTCCCTATACCAGAAAGTAGCACCATATATAAAAAATCACAAATCTCCGCTACATAGAGCTTGCTTTTAAAGTATATTTCAAACTGAACATGGTAATTCCAAAAGTGCCCAATTTATATCCTTTTCTGAGCTTCCTTTTGCTGCCTTCCGAGTATTTTTTCATGGTTCATTGGCAGTCATTTCGTTTTTGGTATCACCATTATTCTATTATTTATCTCCATAATTATAAACCCTCCTCCCCCACCAAAGTCTTCCCTTGTAACAACTAGGAATAGTCGAGCAAAACATCCACCCATTGGCCGTGTCTGAAAATATATGCCTCATGCTGTACCTTGTCCAATGCCTGTGTGCCCAGAGGTGGGAAGCCTCATCATCAGTCTTCTGGAGTCATGGATGGTCACTGAATTGATCATGGTTCTTGAGGCCTTCATTGCCGTTTCTTTACAATGTTGTAGACATTGTATGTACATAGTACTTAGCATCAGTTCATACAATTCTCCCCAGGTTTCTCTTAGTCACTAGTAACTCAGCGCTCATGCTAAGAGGGAAAAGGCCTGCAAGACAACAAATTCGGGGAAGAAAAAAGGATTATGTCAACTGAGGCCTTAGGAGGTTTGGTGATGGAAGCAGGCTGCCTTGGTTCTCCAAATCCATGCCCAGAGTGTGGTGGTTTGACAGCTAGGCTTCCCAGCTTTTCCTTTTGTAAACAAAAGATCCCATTGGTGATTGTGTATTAGAGATGCTCCCTACTTTTCAAGGGCTATGGGAGAGTAATAGGTAGGGAGCAAGGTGCTGTTTCCTCTGCTTTCAAGTCCGTGCTTTGGGATCTTTGAGCATAGTAATTGGCTGAGGGAAATGAGATAATGAGAGTGAAATGTTTCCTGATTTACTCAAGAAAGTTGCCGAACAAGGACAGTGATGGTCTCATCTAAGACGCCAGGTGCTGAGGGCTGTCTGGGTCCAGATGGACACTTCATGGCATTATTATTGGGCAAAATAATAATCAGCCAGTTTGGGGCTAAAAGTAAAAAAGGGGGCAGCTGCAGTACTTAGAGGATACGTGTCAAATGTTATGCAGCTCAAAACCTCAGGGAGGAGTTCAGTCTCTTAAATCATCTGGCAAATGTCAGAAGAATGATTTTGGGTGAGGAATCAAAGTCTCCTGAAGGTGCTTATGGGATTTTCCCCTCTTAGGATTCACATATGAAATGCCAGTTCAGAATCCATAAAGGAAGAAGAATAAATATTTTTAATACACAAATATCCCAACAAGGGAATAAAGTCCTTATTTACTAATACAGCTATGTATGAATCTCTGTATAGTTGATTCTCATCATGGCTGGTAGTTATGATCTATAAAACCTCAGTAAACACTGAATTAGCAGATTCCAAACCATTGCTCCTACGGGAAATACAGGATGAAGTTCGCGCAAGCTTCCAGTCACATTTACTTTAGCACTTTCCAAAGCAACTTCATGTACAATCGACAAGTTTCCTCTTCCTTTTCTGAATATACAACATTGAACTCGAAGCACTATAACTCATCCCTGAACAAAGCTTATTTAAATGTGTTTTTGCTGTAAGGCCCATTACAGACTGCTTGTATGCTAAGAACACAAGATATTTGGGGGGCCATTTTAAACACTGAAATCAACAAGAAAAAACATAAAAACGAGAAAAACATAGCACTAGACTGTGAAAAAGACACTTGTTTACTGTATGAAAATTGAAACAGATTAGAACATTGCCTTGTTCAACCTCAGCCAGAAACATGCATGTCAGATGACTCAAGTTTTTCTCTGCTCTGTGCGTGAATGACTGCAAAAGTGTAGCAATGATTGATTTTGGGGTTACAGATAAATTTTAGTAAGTAGGCGAATTCACAAATATGGAATCGATGGAAAACAAAGATCAACTATATACATATGTATGTATGTATATATATTGAACACACACACACACACACACACACACACACACACACACACACACACATATATATATATACACGCTATGGCAAGCAATATTGATTGATTCAAATTCCTCAGAGTGAAGGGTAGCACTTGCAATTACAAAATTCTATAAAGCAAAATTATAACCTTACCCACATCAGACACAGAGACCACAAGTTAGATGCTATGAAATGAATTGGCAGCAGTCAGAATGCAACAGGTCCTACAATGTGGCCAAATGCCCAGGAATAGTAGTCTAGTTAGGAGGAGGGTATGCAGAGCTGCTGCTGGATATAGTTATCATAGTAGGCAACCCCCAAGAGATCCATGGGAGCACCCCACAACATATGGGTTCCTGGGGACAGTGGCCTCAAGCTTAACTTTTACAAAGCATTTATCACATCAAGTTCACTCCCAAATTCAGCACAGCCAATGGACAGTCACTCCCTTGCTTTTGGACCTAACGTTTTGGCTGTGGGGACAAACCTGGAATTGTCTCAATTACTTATCAGAGCTGTGCTGGGGGTCCAGAAATTCTGCCTTGGACCCTGGCTCCCAGACCCCTGGTGGCTTGCCCTGGTGACCTTCAAAGTTCACAAGATCAAAGCCCAAGTCTTGCTGCTTCTACCTCTGCAATGTTCTCTGTATATGCCTCCTTCTCTCCTCTGAGAGTGCTGCTGTCCTGTTGCAGGCCCTCATCACCTCCCTCCTGGACTGACTGGTTTCTGCCACACAAATCTCTTCCTCATTTCAGTCCATCTTCCACTCAGCTATCAAAATTAACTTCCTAAAGTTCAAGTCCAACCACATCACTCCCCTATTCAATAAACTCCAGTGGCTCCCTATTACCTCCAGGACCAAAAATTTTCTCTCTCTTTTTTTTTTTTTTTGGCAAGGCAATGGGGTTGAGTGACTTATCCAGGGTCACACAGCTAGTAAGTGTTGTGTGTCTGAGGCTGGATTTGAACTCAGGTCCTCCTGACTTCAGGGTCGGTGCTCTATCCACTGTGCCACCTAGCTGCCCTTCTCTTTGGTTTTTAAGACCTTTCACAAAACCTGATCCCCTTCCTACCTTTCAGTCTTCTTATACCTTACTCACTTCTACATCCTCCATAAGCCAGCAGCACTGGCCTTCTTGCTGTTCCACACACACCTCTCAACTCTGGGCATTTTCCCTGGCTGTGCCTCGTGTCTGGAATGCTCTGCCTCTTCATCTCTGCCGTCTGGCTCCCATGTCTCAGCTCAACTCTCACCTTTTGCCAGAGGTCTTTCCGGGCGCCTCTTAATTCTAGTACCTTCCCTCTGAGATTATCTCCAATGTATCCTGTATATATTTTGTTTGTACATGGTAGCTTATATGCTGTCTCCCCAGTTAGACTGTGAGCTCCTTGAGGGCAGGGCCTGCTTTTTACCTTCCTTTGTATCTACAGCACTTAGCGTCATGCCAGGGACATAAGTAGGCTCTTAATAAATGCTTGCTCGCTTCCATCTCCAATATTCTACTTTTCTAAACATTAGCAGGGCTATGCACTCAGGGCTTCATGCCTCGCCCATGAGAAGCCCAAAGCAACTCGGCCTCCTCGCTATATTCTAAAGCAAGAAAAAAGGCCAAGTTATCTTCATGGGAGTCTTTATATCCATTCTTGGTTCCAACTCAAGAGCCAAAAGTCTGTTTCTTCACCCTGTGACTGGCAGACCAGTCACTCTTGAGCATGCTCTGAAGTGGAAAGCCAGGCCCCCTCATTCCACTTCAACAGGCATTGCTAGATGCAACCTCCCCAAACACAAATGTTTCCAGGGCTGGGCAATCATTTGTCAGTCTCCCACTGCCCCTTACAACTGCAAGATGAAAGTGTAGTATTGACCAGTGTAAGTACGACAAAATTCCTCTACATAGAAAAGGCTTAAGATCTTGATGACACCTTCTACTTTCTGTTCTATTTTCTGAATACATGTTCCAAGGTGGGGGATCACAGCATATGTCACAACATATGGGAGGTCTGTCTCCCAGTACATTGGGCTAGAGGCTGCTTCCCTGGATCACCCTGTAACAAACACTTCAAACAACAATAAACAAGTTAATTGTTCATATACGACCCAATTTTTTTTTATCTTTTTATGCTGAAGTGTTCATGTGTTTATGATTATTAAGCTCATAGTAAAAAAAATTTATAAATAAATTATAAAATGAGCTACTGCTTGGGAAAGGCCAGCATCACGTGCAAACTACATGTGAATCATTTTCCTCTTTGAGATTTACAATAAGATACGTATCCTGAATGCCAGCGTAGAAAGAATTTCAAGTCTTTCACGTGGAGACTATAAATATTGTGACCCTATCTTCAGAGGAACCAGCCAATCTGGACCTATGTTCATAAACTTAACCAAACTATATTTGCCCTCTGACCTGGCTATACAGTAATTAGGAACTTTCTACCAATTTGGTTCCCAAAGGCATCAAAGAAAGAGCAAAAGGTTCTTTTTTGTAGTAATAAAATAAAGGGGTATCCTACTGGGGAACAGCTAGCCAAATTATGGCTTATAAAGGTAATAGAATATTATTGTGCCATAAGGATTGATGAAATGGATAATTTCAGACGAAACAGAGAAGACCTTTATGAACTGATACAGAGAGAAGTTAGCAGAACGGAAGAAAAATTTATGCAATGATAACATCATGGAGAGAAACAACTCTGAAAGTCTTTAAAACTGTGATCAACAAAATGATGAATTACAAGTCCAAAAGAATGAAACTCCTGAGAGGTGATGATGGACTTAAAAAAGGCATACGTTTTGGACACAGCCAGTACAGGAGTTTGTCTTGTCAAACTATGTATTGGGCATTTTTTTTTTATTTTTAAAAAATTTACTCAATTAAGAGAAGATAGTGATCTTCATGCATTTCTTTTGGGATTGGAAGTTTCAGGTGTAGGCTCCTAATTTGACATTATAGCAAACTGTATTAAGATCTATTTTGTAAAAGGCTATATAACAGGAATACCTGGGAGCCTCTGTACTGGCCAAACAGTCCTCCTATGAACACCCACCTTCAGAGCTGCCCTCAACTGAGACCTCCCCCAGAATGAGACCATAAGAAATTCTTTCCAGGGACCAGATTAATATCTGGGACATCTGAAACTCAACTGGAGATTAAGTGGACATTGGGAGTGGGCTACCATGGTATAGTTGTATTACCTGGAAGACATGTAGGTTCCACCTTTCCCATGTGACATTTTCTCTGAAGGGGATTGCCCCCAATGGATTTTGTCAACACGCCAGCCATAGATAGCAAGGTTGTATCTCCAAAAGCACTCCTGAGTCATGGGAATCTGCTGCTGTCTGGCCATCACATGGAATCACATACATGGAAAAGGCATGGGAGACTTATCGCCTTTTGCTGGGCCATTTATAAGTCAACCAGCACCAATAACATTCAAACCTCTTACAGCTGGCCTCATATAAAGCATTGAACCTTGCAATTACTGCTTGCCATTGTCTCATTACTAATTCAATCCCAAGGGATGCTGATCATGACCTATCATGCCAATTTATAGACGGCGATTCAATGAAGACATGGCTCCATAGAATCAAAGGGGGGAATG